TAAGATTAGCATTGGAAATTCTGTGGAGGATACTCATGTTATGGTGTATGTTTGTTTCTTGATATTCATTGCTCGGGCTTTTCAGATTTTATATCTAATAAATACAAAAGGCTGGAAATATTTTGAATGAAAAGTTTTTTGAACTAATTGAAGTTATATTTGAACTGATTGGCATACAAAATACTCCTGCTAGTTTTCCTTCTATTTATGCTTTCCTCAACGATGGTAGGCCCTTTTCCTGGTCTTAACAGTGATTGTGGCTCAAAGCATACCACAATCTATTGGTCCAGATTACAAAATAATTAAGATTAGTGGCCCAGTTTATTAAACATTAAAGATTATTGGGCCAACAATCTCAGCCCATAAACTTGGAAACAACTTAGACTCAGCATTGCACATTTGCACTGGTAGCTTACTGTCCTAACTAGGACGGTTCATAATGCAGTTTAGACCGTACCAAACCACAAATCAAACCGCAATTTTGCGGTTTGGTGCGATTTGCAGTTTGAAAATTACGGTGTGGTTTTAGAAAATGACCAAATCGCGATTTACGGTTTGGTGCGATTTCAAAAAAATTTAGACCAAAACGCATCGTAAACCGCACTTTGATGCGGTTTGCAGTTTTTATACTATATTTTTATTTAAAAAAATATATAAGAACTAAAGAATATGAGCTAATCTTTGACTAATAGCTAATTAAAGGTTAAAGAAAAAAGAGTTTAATAGTTGTATTATAAATTAATAATCTCAAAATAAAATAAAAGTTTTGTTTTAAAAAAATGATAATTATAATTTTAAAAAAATTATAGTTAAACCGCAAACCGTACAGCACCAAACTGCATTTTGTGGTGTGGTTTGGTGGGTTTGGTTAGAAGTGTGGTTTGAAAATAATACAAACTGCAATTTTACGGTTTGGTGCGGTTTGGGATCCAAACCGCACCACGAACACCCCTAGTCCTAGCTAGTCTTTCTTTCTTTTCAATGACATTTTGAGTTCGAGAGAGTGGGGGTTTCAGAAATCGGTCTTGATTGAAAAGATGGATTAGATCAAAATACACAAAAAGGATCTCCTTTCAATGCGTTTTTGTGTGCGGCTGGTCACACCATGTGTCTGCTTGTAAAAACAAAGTAACTCCTATATATAACACTGATTGAGTAACCCATGTAATACTGACTAAATAACCCTTATAGCACTAACCGAGTAATCCCTATAATAATGACGAAATAATCCCTGTAACACTGACCGGGTGAGTTATCCCTATAATACTAACAAATTAACCCCTGTAATGACTGGCCACACGGTATGGCCAACCACATATAAAAGTTGGTGTTAACATTTTTTTTTTTGGCATATCATTATAATAAAAAAGAATGTAGAATAAAGGTGAAATTTTCCCAACTAAAACCATTTAGGTTATGTTCTTTTCACCATATTCTTATGATTACGTTATCTGTTAATTAGGCCTTATTCTCTTCACCTTAAAAAAAAATTATGTTCCGTAAAAATAATTTCATTTCAATAAAAGTGATTGAAATTCAGCAAATTTATAATACCTCCAATAGTAAAAATAATATAAGTTCAGCAAAAATAAGATGAAGAGAACAAGACTTTTTTTTTGTTAATATTAGATTAGATCAAATAACAAAATTTCAGACCAAACCACATATAAGTATTTAATTTAATTTTGTATTTGTTGAGTTTAAATTCCGTATTAGTTGAAGTTATTTGCAAAAAAATATATTGTACGTTATAACGAATCTAATGAGATCCTACTCAGTAATATTTTTTCTTATACTTAATTTATAATTAAGTTAAGCTTAGATAAATCAGACAATCAATCAAATCAAATTAGATCGGTTTAGTTAAAAATTTAGTTAAATCAGACAATATAGACCAAAAAATCTTGTTTCAAGTGAAGATCTTCCGGTCCTAGCAATCCTAGCATAAATGGTGCAGTCAAAATAGGGTCAATTTCATCAGTTTGGTCAAGTTCAAGTCCTAGCATAGATGATGCAGTCTCAACTCTCAATTTAGAATTTTTTAAATGATGCAGTCTCAACTCTCAATTTCATCAGTTTGGTCGAGTTCAAGTCCTAGCAATCCTAGCACAAATGCTTTCGTTAGTTTTAAAAATAAAAAAATAAAAAATAAAATAAAATAAAAAAAACCTCTGGCTTTCGTTCGGTCAAGTCATACTAGCTAAATCTAGACAAGTTAACAACTCTAGGAGGAACCACTGCACATTCTAATTATAGCTACTTCTAGGTATATACGGATTTGACATTTTAAAGATGGCTTTTGAAAAATTTTAATGTGACGATGAAAAAAGTTTATTAATTCCTTAGGGAAAACAAAAGCATTATTTAATTATTATTTTACTTTTACGTGAACTATTAAACCATAATTTATTTTTGAAAGAAAACCATTATTTATTTATTTATTTTTTAATAAAAAGCTACTTTGAATATTTTTTTATATAAAAAAAGGACTCACATATATTAGTTTTTTTTTTTTTTGTTAAAAACATTAAAAAAGACCATATATATTTTATGAATTTATAGATTGTACTCTCTGTTGTAAAAATGGTATCTAAAACAAAAGTCAACAGGAATGAACAAGAACAAAAGCAAAAGACGAATTTCGGTGTGGCGTGATAAATCACTGCCTTTGAAAACGAATTCCGGCGCAACCGGGATGCACAATTGTAATCGCCACATCGTCCCCTAAGGTTACACACCACCCTCACACTAAGGTACTTTAGAGTAAGAGGTGGAGTCTGTGAAAACTTATACCCAAATAACAAAGGTGTTTAGCTTGTGTTTGATATTTTTTCCAAGTGTCAAATCAGAAAAAATCATCCTTCAATATATAATGATGGATGAAGGAATATAGAAGATCATAGAGGAATATTATCATCAATGGAGGAACAAAATCAGAATAAACATAGTGAATTAATCACCATAAACAACCTCTTAAATGGGGGGTTATAAGGAATCAAACAAGAAGAAGAATCCAAGGAAGTCGTTGGAGTCCAACGGACGAGTTCACGCTTGATCGGGCGGAGCTCGCCTGGTCGGGCGAGCACCCAGACAAAATCTGGGTTGCTCTCGCGCCCGGTCGGGCGGACACTCCTCTTTTTCCAGACGTCCTCTCACGCCCGCTCGGGCGGAGCTTGCCCGATCGAGCGCGGGTATCAGACTACTTTGAATTTCCTTTCTTTATTCCAACACTCTCACATGAAACCAAATCTATTAAGTGGATTAATCGAGAAGAGTCTGTTGTATTTGGCAATTATATAATATACTTTTTAAGCACGAGGCCAAGCATATTGACATAACACCATAACCATATCTTGGCTTATTCCGGACACAACCTTCTTAATTATGAGGCATGCTAACACAACACCGGTGTAAGCTTACACGAACCAATCTATTTTTGGCTCTATACATGCATGTATTTAAATTAGTAAATTGTGATTTATTATCCAATTAAATTATAATTATCATTAAACAATATTTTTATTTATGATTCCCCACCGTACTTGGAAGTTTTATCCACATATTTCGAATTAATAACTCTAGATAGCCAAAATAAATAAATAAATAAATAAATAAATTTATTCGTTCCATTCTACTCGCAACAATTTAACATTTGCAACTATTCACATATATATGTTTGATCATTTTTAGTGAATAGTGATTGATAAATAAGGTAAAATACAGTTAAGTGAGATCTTATTAAATTTGTCTCAATATATATTTACATAAAGTTAACTTTTTAAAATTTTACCAAATCATAATTAAGGATAATTAAATATATTAATGGTTGAAATTATGAATCGGTAAACACAAACGTCAAAGAATATTGCGAGTAAAATTGAATGGCAGAAGTAGCAAGTAAGATTTTTTAGGTAAATGCAAAAAAATTGTAAGTAAAAGTGAATTAATTCACTTACAGGATTCTTTTTGTTTGTTTTGTGCTAGCTTGGTTTTATTCATGAATTTTATTTGACCTTGATACAATTTAAATACAAATATGGACCGCACCTAGCCCAATAAGAGAGAGCACTTACAAATGCCTTAGTTAATTAGTATCTCCCTTTAAAAATGGAATAAAAAAAATAAGAACAATAAAATAACACTATTACTACCTTTGTTTCTTATTATAGTTGGGTGTTTAGAGAGCTATAAAGGCGGGTGATGAGAATCGATCTCAGGATCATCTGGAAGAGAGAGGGGAGCTTTAACTAGTTGAGCTATCCTTCACTCTCTGTTTCTTATTATATGTAACAAAGGAATATTTTGTCTCACAAATAATATCATAATAAGAAATGAAGTTAATATAACTAATGTAGGTAATTTTTTTTTGGTGTGTAGAGAACCACAAGGGCGAGAAAATCACTTGGAACCGGGAGGGGAGCTCTAATTACTTGAGATATCCCTCACTCTCACCAATGTTTTAAAAATAACTAGATGTAGTAGGAATGTAGCCATGTAGAATACAAGATGGAATGCAATTGCGACTTAAAATGGCAACCCCAAATTAAAGATATATTATTATAGTATAATTTAACATGCATATGCAATTAGGCATAGTAATTAGGTCCTTCCAACTCTATACATATACAGATATACTAGTAACAAGTAGTTATTAGTTCTTGAATTACTAATAATGTTACGTTTGATTCGCAGCTCTAAGTAGGGAGAGACATGGGAGATATGCAATACTTGTTGAATTGCTATCATTTCACCATTTCAGGTAAGATTACATGCTTTATGCTTAGATGATGCGTCATTATCCCATCCCGATAATAATTGAAAAGATCTACATCATTGAACAACATAAATTTAAGCAAATAATGCTTGATTTGGTTAGTAGAATTTAGGATCTATCGTACTCTTTAATTTATACATACCATGGTTGATTTGCAAGGATCAATATATTATACCTTTTTATTTTACAAAAAGGAAAGCAAATGCAAAAAAAACACAGTGAGCAATTATTTGTCACAAACTAACAGCCCCACGAGTTTAGAAAAAACGGAGAACAATGCTTGATATATCATTATGTATGTTTATGAAGTGATGATATAGATGCTAGCCATAATTTCTCAGCTTATCAGAAGCAAACTTATCTTTACGATAGAAAAAGATACATCATATTTTATTTCCTAGCCTAAGGACTTTCTTACGTAAATAAATTTACGAACAAGTCAAGCATGTGCATGCATGACTTTTACAATACTTAACTAGCTACTATTTGATCCAATAATAATCGGACGATTGCATCTAATGATGAATGATACCTCATGAAACTCAACCTTAATAACCACCACCACCTCCATATCCTCCTCCATGGCCTCCACCATAACCACCTCCATAGCCACCTCCAGCTCCGGCTCCTCCACCAGCACCACTACCAGCTCCACCTCCATAGCCACCTCCATGTCCTCCTCCATAGCCACCTCCAACTCCTTCATGGCCACCTCCATAGCCACCACCTACACCTCCTCCGTGGCCATATCCACCACCAATTCCTCCTCCCATTCCACTTCCATGACCTCCTCCATAGCCACCACCAGCACCTTCGCCGGCACCACCACCAATGCCCCCTCCGTAGCCACCACCAACACCACCTCCATGGCCTCCACCAATACCGCCTTCATGGCCACCTCCATAACCACCGCCAACACCGCCTCCGTGGCCACCTCCTACTCCACCTCCATAACCACCACCAACACCACCTTCATGGCCACCTCCTACTCCTCCTCCAAGACCTCCTCCTTTGCCTCCATAACCACCACCAACTCCTCCTCCGTGACCACCTCCTACACCTCCTCCATAACCGCCACCAACTCCACCTCCATGTCCACCTCCGACACCTCCACCCTTGCCTCCTCCAGAACCATATCCACCACCTAAACCACCTCCGTGGCCACCTCCAACACCTCCTCTGTTGTGCGACAGCGGAAGCAAAGGTCGAAAACAAACAAGAAAACAATAAAGAAATTCAATGCAAACAATAAGAACAACACCAAGAATTTACGTGGTTCACTATCGATGTGATAGCTACGTCCACGGGCACCGAGATCGAATGATTTCACTATAAACTGCAAAGATTACAAAGATGATTCTTGTATTTCTCAAGAACGGCTCTCACTCTGTCTCTCTTGTGTTTCTCTCTCCGTTACCCTAATAATGATAATAGGAAGTTTATATAGTAGTGATTCCTAATTAAGATATACTTAGGTTACAATATCACAATATGATAAATATTAAATTCGTAATCGCTGAAAAAACCCAGATCGCCCGGTCGGGCGAAGGCCCGCCCGATCGGGCGCGAGAACACGTCTTTTCCAACAACCGAAGTACTCCAAAAAACCCCTTCCGCCCGGTCAGACCGGGCAAGGTCTGCCCGATCGGGCGAAGGCTCGCCCGGTCGGGCGAAGGCTCGCCCGGTCGGGCGCGAGAGCAGCTTCTTCAACGAATTTGCCAGGCACCTCTTCTTCTTCCGCCCGGTCAGACCGGGCAATGTCCGCCCGATCGGGCGGACAAAGCTACGAAGTACGAGTCACCTAATATACTTATCAACAATCTCCACCTTGACGAGAACTCGTAGTCAGCAAACGACCCCATCAAGACATAGTGAAAAAACATCTCAAGCCAAACCCGATGCAAGACTCATGCATAAGCCATACATCCCGATAAGTCTTCAACCAAGACCCATCACATACTCGTCTCCAAGTATAACAACTCATAATGCTCCACCTGCATCACAAGCCCCGGGCAAGCTCCACCTTAAGGCCAACACACCTACACCAGGAGCTCCCCAACTTCGCCCCTCAGGGCCTACTACATCACGTAGTAATCAATATTTAACAAGTCTAAGCAATGTTTAAACTTGCTAAACGGAACAGGCTTAGTGAAGAAATCAGCCGGGTTGTCAGCAGTCCCAATCTTCTTCACCTTAATCCTCTTGTCAGTACGCAAGAAATGATACCTGACATCAATGTGCTTCGTCCGATCATGGTGTACTTGATCTTTAGCTAAGCAAATCGCACTTAGACTATCACAATACACTGTAGCAAAATCCTGTGCAATACCCAGTTCACCTACTAGGCCTTTGAGCCAAATAGACTCCTTAGCTGCAGAAGTTAAAGCCATATACTCAGCTTCAGTAGTTGACAACGTAACTGATGACTGCAATGTAGACTTCCAACTAACCACAGAACCACCCAAAGTGAACACATAACCAGTCACAGACCTCCTGGTATCCACATCAGCTGCATAATCAGAATCACTGTACCCAGTGACCAAGCATTCCTTATCATTCCCGTACACAAGACCAATATCAGCTGTCCCTCTCAGGTAGCGAAAAATCCTTTTCACCCCTTGCCAGTGTTCCCTCCCAGGTCGAGCCATAAACCTGCTTACAACACTAACGGCATGCGCAATATCCGGCCTAGTACAGACCATAGCATACATCAAACAACCAACCGCATTTGCATATGGAACTCTAGACATATAAGACAACTCCTCCTCTGATTGAGGTGACATAGACAAAGACAACTTACAACTAACAGTAGTTGGCGTACTTATAGGCTTCGATTTTTCCATCCCAAAACGAGACAAAATCTTTTCAATGTAGCTTTTCTGAGTCAAGAAAAGCTTACCTCTAGCCCGATCCCTGTAGATCTCCATACCCAAAATCTTCCTAGCTGCACCCAAGTCTTTCATGTCAAACTCCGAGTTAAGCATCTCCTTTAATCTAGCAATATCAGATTTATTCTTTGTGGCAACCAACATGTCATCAACATATAACAAAAGATAAATCATGGAACCATTATCCAGCTTACTATGATACACACAGCAATCATATGAATTCCTGTCAAAACCTTGTGAAACCATAAAAGAATCAAACCTTTTGTACCACTGTCGGGGGGGATTGCTTAAGTCCATACAATGACTTTAGCAATCTGCAGGCATAGTGTTCCTTTCCAGGAACTTCGAATCCTTCGGGCTGCTTCATCAGAATCTCCTCCTCCAAATCGCCATGAAGGAAAGCCGTTTTAACATCCAACTGCTCCAGCTCAAGATCAAAATGTGCTACAATTGACAATAACACACGGATAGAAGTATGTCGAACCACAGGTGAGAATATCTCAACAAAATCAACCCCTTCTACCTGACTGAACCCCTTAGCAACTAGCCTAGCCTTAAAACGTATTTGCTCAGTTTCCGACAACCCTTCTTTCTTCTTGTAAATCCATTTACAACCCACAAGCTTCCTCCCTTCCGGTACCTTTACCAGTTCCCACACTCTGTTCTTGTAAAGAGACTGCATCTCTTCACCCATTGCGGCAAGCCATTGCGCAGACTCACTACAACTAATTGCTTGTTTATATGTGGCAGGTTCAAATGACTCTACATCATCAGCTACACTCAATGCATAACCTGTCATCGCATCAACACAGCAATTTCTTCCCTCCATCTCTTCAATCAATCTAACAGGCTTCTTGATAACTCGTTTAGGCATCTCAAGAATGGTGTCAGGTTGACTAGATGACCCCTGATTAGATTGCTCCACCTCATCCCCAGAGTTAGAATGAGTAGGAGTAATCTCAGGTTCAGGAGTACCCGGCACTGGAACATCAGCATCATCATCAATATATTGTACCCGAGGTAAATCAGCAATGGTAGACTGATGTACCTCAAGTACCCCATCTGTCTGTAATAAATTGTCTCCTTCCCTTCTCAAATCTGAAATCTCTGCATTTTTAATTGAATACATGGTGTTTTCATCGAAAGTAACATCCCTACTAAGAATGACCCGACCCTCCGAAGGTGAAAAAATTCTAAACCCCTTCACACCATCCCCGTACCCAACAAAACACCCCTTCTTGGCTCGTGGATCCAGCTTACCCTCAATAACATGATAATAAGCAACACAACCAAAAATCTTCAAATTCGAAAAATTAGGCAACTTACCACTCCAGATCTCAAACGGAATTTTGGAATCAATTCCAGAATGAGGACCCCTATTAATGACATAACAAGCTGTTAACACAGCTTCACTCCAGTACCTCCTCCCAAGCCCTGCATTAGAGAGCATGCATCGAACTCTCTCTAGCAGTGTCTGATTAACCCGTTCTGCTACACCGTTCTGCTGTGGTGTCTTCCTGACAGTATGATGCCGACCTATACCCTCATCTGCACAGAACTGATTAAACTCGTCTTTGCAAAACTCTAGCCCATTGTCCGTTCGTAGCTTCTTGATCTTCCTTCCTTGTCGATTTTCCACCAAAGCTTTCCATTGCTTGAAAACTTTGAAGGCCTCATCCTTTGACTTAAGCAACCTAAGCCATGTGTATCGGGACTTGTCGTCAACAAATGACACAAAATAGTGGTAACCTCCCATACCTTCAACTCTAGATGGACCCCAGCAATCTGAATGGATGTAATCGAGCACTGCATCAGTAATGTGAGCACCCTTGCTGAACTTTGACCTGTGTTTCTTACCAAACACACAATGCTCACAAAATTCAAGGTTGGCAACCTTGACCCCGGATAGAAGACCCCTCTTGGACAATAGCTGCATCCCCTTCTCCCCCATATGACCAAGCCTCATGTGCCAAATCTTAGTCATCTCCTGGTGAGATACAGATGCGCAAACCGCAGAACTAGGCAGTGTAACACCCTCAAAAACATAGAGGGTGTTCCTTTTGATACCCTTAAGTACCAACTCAGAACCTCTGAAAATACACAACTCCCCATCTGAAAACACACCATTGTACCCCAAGTCATCCAGGGTACCCAATGAAATCAGATTCTTTCCTAAAGCAGGAACATGCCGTACATTAGTCAAAGTTAACCTCCGCCCATCAACAGTCCTCAACCTCATGGAACCAATACCTGTGACCTTACATGGAGCATTGTTACCGACTATAACCATACCCCCATTGCGAGGTTCATATGTATCAAACCAATCTCGACGTGGACACATATGGAACGAACACCCCGAATCTAGAACCCAGTTATCAGATAAATCATCAGACCTAGCAGAACTGACTAATGCTAAATCTTCCTCTGAATTATAGCTCTCATTCGGTTTCTCTTCAACTACAGCAGCCTGGGACTTGTTTTTCCTCACCGGACAATTATTCCTAAAGTGACCCGGTTCTTTACAGTAATAACATGTTTTAGTAGTAGTTTTACTAGATCCATCCTTGCCGTTTCCAGCACCCGACCCAGCATTGTTCCCCTTGTTAAACCCCTTATTCTTTTTAGACTTTCCGGACTTAACAAACAACCCACTACCATTATCCCCATTATCACTCGTAGCTTTCATTCTGAGTTCCCTAGTATGAAGTGCTGCCTTCACTTCTTCTAAGGTTATAGAATCCTTACCAACAACAAAAGACTCTACAAAATTCTCAAAGCTAGACGGTAGAGATACAAGTAAAATCAACGCAGCATCCTCATCATCAATTTTAACATCTAAATTACGTAAATCAAGCAAAATAGAGTTAAGTTTTTCTAGATGTTCCCGTAAGGAAGTACCTGACTGCATCCGGAGGCTAAACAACCGCTGTTTCAGTAATAATTTGTTGGTCAACGACTTAGTCATATACAATGACTCCAGCTTCAGCCACAATCCAGCCGCCGTTTCCTGATCAGCAACCTCCGTGATGATTTGATCATCAAGACTAAGTAATATGGTAGAGTGTGCCTTCTCTTCCATAACTTCTAACTGCGAGTCAGTCGGTCCGTCTCCTGACTCCGAAGTAGTACTCTTTGGAGCCAACGGACGCCATATCTGCTGTTGTTTTAACAGAGCCTTCATCTTAATTTGCCATAGCCCGAAACTATTTTTCCCGGTAAACTTCTCAATTCTTATTGTTGAATCTCCTGCCATTGTTATCTTCAAGAAACTCTCCAAGGATTGAACCTGAGCTCTTGATACCAATTGTTGTGCGACAGCGGAAGCAAAGGTCGAAAACAAACAAGAAAACAATAAAGAAATTCAATGCAAACAATAAGAACAACACCAAGAATTTACGTGGTTCACTATCGATGTGATAGCTACGTCCACGGGCACCGAGATCGAATGATTTCACTATAAACTGCAAAGATTACAAAGATGATTCTTGTATTTCTCAAGAACGGCTCTCACTCTGTCTCTCTTGTGTTTCTCTCTCCGTTACCCTAATAATGATAATAGGAAGTTTATATAGTAGTGATTCCTAATTAAGATATACTTAGGTTACAATATCACAATATGATAAATATTAAATTCGTAATCGCTGAAAAAACCCAGATCGCCCGGTCGGGCGAAGGCCCGCCCGATCGGGCGCGAGAACACGTCTTTTCCAACAACCGAAGTACTCCAAAAAACCCCTTCCGCCCGGTCAGACCGGGCAAGGTCTGCCCGATCGGGCGAAGGCTCGCCCGGTCGGGCGAAGGCTCGCCCGGTCGGGCGAAGGCTCGCCCGGTCGGGCGCGAGAGCAGCTTCTTCAACGAATTTGCCAGGCACCTCTTCTTCTTCCGCCCGGTCAGACCGGGCAATGTCCGCCCGATCGGGCGGACAAAGCTACGAAGTACGAGTCACCTAATATACTTATCAACATCCTCCATAACCACCACCAACTCCACCTCCATGACCACCTCCAATGCCTCCACCCTTACCGCCTCCTCCATAACCACCACCAACACCGCTTCCGACACCACCACCTTCATGTCCTCCTCCATAACCTCCACCAGCACCTCCTCCTACACCACCTCCTTGTCCTCCTCCATAACCACCTCCTACACCACCACCTTCATGGCCACCTCCATATCCACCACCAGCACCCCCTCCTGCACCACCTCCATAGCCTCCTCCTACACCACCACCTTCATGTCCTCCTCCATAGCCACCACCACTTCCATGACCTCCTCCAGCACCACCTCCATATCCACCCCCAATGCCGCCTCCTTTACCGCCCCCAATGCCTCCCCCATAACCCAAGCCACCTTCCCCTCCTTCACAACCCTCCTTATCCAACTTATTTTTCTCCTCCAATTGTCTTCCCTCAGCTAATCCGATAAACACCACCACAAGTGATAACACTAAAAACGACATTCCTAAAGCTCTCATAACCTTCCCCATGGTTTTAGCTCTCTTACTCAATTACACTTTTATTTTCGTTGAGTGATTGCAATACAATTTGTAAAGTTGCATGGCCTATTTATAGGAAAATTAGGGCTTGGAAAACGACATAGTAACCCCACTTAGTACGTAGTAGGAGTGGTAGTAGTAGTAGTCGATTAGTAGTAGTTTAATAGTGGACTCTGAGAGTGCATACGTGGTATTGTGTGCGGCAAACAGGCAATGTTGTTTTTTCAAAGTTGCTTGACCTTGGGTAATTAAAACATTTAATGACGGTGCTTATTTTAGTGGAAGTTGATTAAGAAATATTAACAACTACCTACTTTCTACCCACTCAGTGAACAATTTGATATCAACTAGGAGTACTACTACTACTTAAAATCATGCATTATACTAATTCATGATTTTATATTTATCATGTTAAAGTCTTATTTTGCATTATGATTGCATGATTTTATATGAAAACAAAAGTATATAATAGGAAGTATAGCTTTTCAATACAATATGATTATTCTTTAATTAAATTTTTGAAAGACTGATAAATGAAGATGTAGCGGTATTTTATGTCTTTTTTTTATACATAGGACTTAGGAGTAATTTGTTCAGCAAATTCCATAAAACTATAGTCATTTTTCACTAATTTTGTTTCAAAATCCACTTATAATAGAGCAATTAAATACTTACTACTTCTAATTAGCTCTTTTTGAAAGACTACTTCTAATTAGTTCTAATTAACCAACAAAAATACAAAACTTAACATACATAGTTCTTTTTGAAAAACTACTTCTAATTAGTTCTAATTAACCAACAAAAATACAACTTAACATACATAGTCATAAAAAAAATCGATTAAAAATGCTATCTAGTGAAAGTAATTAAAAGTATAATATAGATCGAGTATAGCACGGAGTCTTGCATTATTATATAGGGTGATTATAATCCCTCATATTCTCATATATGGAACAACTTACATGTACACAATAAATGGTTCAGATTAGTAGTTTCATTTTTATTTTATAATATGGGACATCTTATTACGAAATACTCCCTTTGATTCGTTTTATTTTTCTTTTTTCTTTTTATTTTTGTTGCTTTTCTTGTTAAGAATCTTGACACGCACCATTTACAGTTTGTGGGAATTTTCTAATCATTCTTAATATACATGGTAAAACATATTCAAATGTGGTCTTGCTTTGTTTTGTGATCACGATGAATGTTGAGCATAAGAAAATATATTTTATATTTATACAAAATGCATTGGCAACGTGTAAAGTCAAAATATAAATAATAGCACTTTTTGTGAGAAACTACCTAAGAAAAAAAAAGTTGTAAGAAACTACCTAATAAAAGGTAAAATGTTGTAAGATACTATTTTTTGACCGAATTTCCACCGTTGTCTTAATTTTACGACGTCGATCCACCTTAAAACACCCCCGAAACCACCGTGAGGGTTGGTTTTCAAGGTGGTAAGGTTATTTTCAGGGTGGTTGGAGGATATTCCGAGTTGGTGAGGGTAGATTAGTGCTTTGGGATGGTGGTTTTTGGGGTTAGAGGTGGTGGTTTTGGGGTTGAAAGGTGGTTTAGGTGTGGTGGAGGCGATTTCAAGCAAGTTGTGTTAGTTTTGGGAATGAAAGCGGTGGTTTCGAGAGTGTTTTGAGGTTGGTCGACGGTGGAAATCCGGTATAGGTAGTATTTTACATCATTTTACCTTTTCTTAGGTAGTTTATTACAACATTTTACCTTTATTAGGCGGTTTATTACAACATTTTTTTTTATTAGGTAGTTTCTCACAAAATCTGGGTTTTATTAGGTAGTTTTTGACAAAAAGTGGTAAATAATAAAAGAAATAGAAGGACTACGAGCTAGTGGCTCTTATTTTTAATCAAGTGGCACTTTTTTTTTTTTTTTTTTTTTTTTTTACAATAGTGGCTCTGATTTTCAATCTAGATACTTCATATTGTGATGATATTAGTAACTTATATTGTAAAAATAAATAAAAAAAATAAAAAAAAAATTAAATTTTTTTTTTTTTGTCAAGTAAAATTAATCATTAATTAAGAAATCATATAATATGTACAATAGAAATCAAATTAGAACTAGCCAATACAAAACAATTTGGATCAATGAATGTATTATGAATGAGATATAACATTAATGAATACTCTGTATTCTTTTTCACCTCATTGTTTGATACAATCTTTTATGAGGGATCTTTCCTATTATAGTTGATATATATATATTTATATAACTATGTAAATTTACATATCAACACTAAAGACAATTGATTTAATTAAACCAATAATTGAAAGAAAAAAGTAGGACGCGTAAAGAGCTTATTAGATTAACTTCATAGATTATTTAAAGAATGACAGATTTTGCGGAAGAGAAAATCTAAGGCTTCAACTGCCTCCACCCTTTCTATTACAAACTTTAATTACTTTATCATATTTTTAATTTAACCTAACCTTCTGTCATATTTCATAAAAAATGTTAAAATAAACAACCAAACATATTGGAATGCCACGCAAATGTTTGGCTCTAATTATTTTGTAGAAATATTAGTTGAGTTAGTGTCTAAAAAGTGGTTCCATTTTAGTCAATTTTGTCGATTTCTGATTAATTGAAATTGACCTTATGAATCTTATTCTAAATTAGTAGCTTGGTCCCTAACAAACCCATTAATTTCAAGTACCGTTTATTTACGCAAAAAATCTTACTATGACATTAATTAACTAGGACAAGTCTTTGCTAATTAAGGGGATGGTAAATTAATTATTTACTACAAGTAGATTATCATCTTCCCATTGTTTTGACTCAATGCTTAATTTTATTTTCCTTCTAGGGCTAGTTGTTTAGCTTGTTGGAGTTGATATAGTGGTTGATGAGCATGTGCAATTCGGCAAAGTGATATTGTAGATTTGTAGATCTTAGATTAGCTAACTATTCCCTCTGTTACCAAGTAATTGTCTCGTTTTACAGTTGCGTACGTTTTTAGAAAGGTTAATTAAAATAATAAGGTGGTGCGGTTTGGTTGATTGAAGGTGAATATAAAAATAAGATAAATAGCTAAGTTGATTATAAGTAAAATAAAAATGAAGATAGTGTTGTACCGGTTTATGATTGATTAATCAAGATAAACGTACTAAATTTTTGAGAGAACCGAAGAAGGTTTAAGATGGAAGAAATAAAACTTTTATTTGGGGATGAAAGAAATAGCTAAATTTTTTTGGATGTTTACATATCACCCTATTGATATTGTTAAAAAATGAACATCACATGAACAAAAATAGAGTTATATTGTAATTAGCTTTTGTTTTTACTTGTTGGCTTTTGTTTGTTATTGTAGTTAAATGGTTTTCAAATTTCTTTGCTAAATAACTTTATCATTGGCTAGAAAATTTGCTTTGAACCATAATTGGAAATAACTCATTGGCGTACATTTTTGCTTGGTTATTGGTGTGTGAGTTGTAATTTTTTCTATTTTTTTGGTATAATCAAATTTCAACATCATGGTTTTTTTGGATCATTATATTATTTACGGGCCAGATATTTAAAAGTAATGAGGAAGGGTAAAGGATCCTCCTCCCTAAGTCACACAATTGAGAAAATTATTCAACCTTAGGTAATTCCTCACAAACTATCTCACTTGGTGTGTTGAAGTAGTAATGTCTTTTGTATCGCTCACAGGGCTCACACGTATGGGTTATCCATGACCAATAGTGTTAGCCTGTCGAGATAGCCATGGATTGTACTCTTTTTCTCTTGCAAGGTTGTTCATATTATGCTCTAATTCGCAAAGTTTCGGATATGTTAACATTAGTAAAATGTATGTTGATTTTATTATTACGGAGTATTTGATTGAGTACAAAATTTGATTTTATGAGCAACATTATTGAAATGTCTCCGACTCTCCACCTTATTTGTGGAGGGTACAAAATTACAAATCATTTATCGGTCGAAATTATTCTCTATTTAATGAAGGCATTGAAACTTCATTATCTTACTGACTTCATTCCTAGTTGTTACAACAATATATATCAACCCCCCCCCCCCTCCCTCTCTCTCTCTCTCTCTCTCTCTCTCTCTCTCTCTAGACGTTTTGATTATTGTCGTGAACAAATACACATTCACAATCCATTCGTACTCGTACTTCTTTTTAGTTTTTTCTTCTATTATTGTTCTTTCTCAATTATTCGGTATAATTAGTTAATACGGCTCCAACTAAATCAAAGTGTATACTTTTGTGTAAATGTCGTATTAACATAGGGGACGAATTAGAGTTACGATTTTGCACCCAATCACTCCTAATATCATTTTCAATGCAATAGTCTTTAGTTCATTTGTTGTCAAGGCATGCACTTTGACTGTAATTTCAATTTATCTTGTTTAGCTTTGGATAATTACTAGCTTGTTCTTTTTTTTTTTTTTTTTTTTTATTTATTTATTTATTTATTTTTATTTTTTTTTTTTTAATTTTTTTTTTTGTGTAGCCTTGAAAACACACCATATTATTAACAATTGGCTGATTCCACCAAAAATATAATCTTCACATATTTAAACAAAATTAGTTTATTACTTCGTATAATAACAGGTCATATTACTATTTTTTTTAAGTGTAGAGAGAGCTACAAGGATAAATGATATAAACAAGATTTGATCTCATTATCTCAAGCCTTGATTTGAGTACCATTCCTAGCTCAAGACTTTAACCAACTAATAAAACTAGTTGTTCATCCACATAACACATTTTTGGTAGTATCATACAAGTACATTTTAGTAATGTACAGGTTGACAGGTTCATTAGGTGATGAATTACTTAAATTACTATAAGTAGATGTGACTAAATGATTATAATTTATCAAGGATGCTAACACTGTTGACTTTAAAAAGATGCATGATACATTGATACTTCAAAGGCCAAAAGGGCCCAAAACCCATGCTAACATATTAATGGCTACCTTTATTGGCTTAGCTTGTAGCACGGTTATTAGTTGAGACGAACTACTACAAGAGGGGGGTGAATTGTAGTGAGTTCCTAGTGACTACTTTTTGCGGAATAATAAAACAGATTA